CACATTAGCTATATTTTTATTTTAGTGCAAACTATCTTTCGCCTGCGACTATGTCCGCGTGAAATTAAAAAAAATGCAAAAGTGGGTAGCCTATGTGTTCTTCCATACTATTCTCTACATCTATGCGAAATTTCACCAAGATCCGTTCAGCCGTTTAGCCTATAAACTCTAACAAACATCCATCCATCCATCCATCTAAACTTTTGCATTTATAATATTAGTAAGAAGTAAGATTAGCGAAAAAAAAAAACGAAAAAAGCAGCGGTGAAACTTTAATGTAATTCTTTTATTTCTCTTATCCCTTCTAGATCACAGAAATGTGCATAATTTTGTATAAATTTACATACATATTACCAATGTAATAATTCAAACGTGAATTACTACGAATTAGGTCACATCATTTCCATGTCAGATCAGTTGGTTTACTGCATAAGACATTGTGTCCGTAATCGACTCCGTATAGACATTATATTAGACCCGCTACACGACATGTCTGACACCTGATAACGCATGTTGACAGCACCTTACAGATTAGATAGCTGACACGGGATAAACTTAACGTCTGTTCATCGCATGTTGAATACGCATAGCGATTGCATTATAACACTACTAGCTACCGCGATTCCGTCCTCATGGTATTAAAAAAAAAAAGTAAATAGCCTATGTGGTCTTACACACTATAGTCTATATCTATGCCAAATTTCATCGAGATCCTTTCAGCAGTTTAGGCTACAAACTCTAACAATAATCTATTTATCTAAGCTTTCGTATTTATAATATTATTAAAATTACGCATAAGTAATAAAGTGTTTGTATATTTTCTTCTTTTTGTATTCCATGAAGTTACAACGTGGCATATTTTAGTAAAATCTTGTCCGTTAAAGAACGATTTATTATAACAGAAATTCCGCAAACGCCAGTATAAAACACAGCCGGATTAACGGATTAAGTTTGAACATAATTACTTCGGCGTGTAATCATATTGATTTAGACGGACGTAACTTTGTCAGGCCGTTTCGCGGAATTATAAAATTTACGACGGCATTAAACTCGAGACGGTTGAAAATTGAAATAAAACAAGACCGGCCAGTTAAGATTTGTAAGCGGCTCAACTTAAATACAGAACAATTAACAGCATCGAAAATGCCGTTTTATCGTTAACTTTGATAATTATTATCTCTTAATAAATTATTTAATCGAATGCTTCGTTTCGTTGACTTTAGACGGCCTCATAATTAAAATTTCGGATTTGATTTGGGACTAAAAATACATCTTTTCTTAATATTTCGTCGGCATAAAAGATAACTATGAAAACCATGATTCTGATAAACAATAGAACATAGTTTTGTTGAATAATTTGGCAACCTTAGTAAAACTTATCTATTTTAAATGACATATCTAATTGTTTATTGTTTATCCAACGTAGAAACGATACTCTGGTAATTCTAACGATAATGTATTAGACTTCTTAAAGGTCAAGAAGACATTAACTGGAAATAAGACAGATACACGCCTTTGCTAGATGCCGATGTCTATCAGTGCGTTTTCTGGGAACACGTTCGCAATACAAACGTTAAACAACCTAAATTAACATATTCCGCTTATTCTTATCACTGACAGTTGCTCTGATTGCGATTATACTGGAATTAATTTCATGGAAATAGTCACGTTTGTGGCGGGTACATAGGACGAAAATAAACTTAGCTGCTGTGTGTCAAGATGACGTTTAATTTCTTAATGCTATCAGAATGCAATTGGTACCTTTGAAGACGTGAAAACTAAAAGATATGAAACGAATTATTATTTAAAGCTTTTTCCATGTTTTTTACGTACAATATAACAAAAACATTAATAATTGTACTTTTTTCCTATTTATGCTGCAATATCCCCTTTTGTAAGTAATTTCATCTAGACAAAGACAACATTGTGCCAATTTAACTTGAGTTCACAATGCGGACATTTTATCTGAATGGAGCCTTATTTGAGGTAAACTTCAAATCAATAAACGTGAGAGCAAATCGTGAAAGTTTATACTCATAAACACGATATAACAGTTACATATTTAGCTATCTATACTATTATAATAAAGCGTTAACATACACTTCTCTGTGACGTAAGATGTCAGCAATGACAACATATTTTTGAATAATTCTTATTTTATTAAAAAGTCCTACACTTACGCCACGCTTTAGGCTATATATTTTCACGCCATTAAACTTAGAGGATAAATATTTCGGATAAAAATGCTAATGTGGGAAAGAGACCATAAGTTGCTGCCAACATCAAGGAAGCAAGATTGTCAGTCAAGGTTTGTCACGTCATGTGTACTAATATGCTTTAATCTCGAGATTCATATATTAATGTTGGTAATAAATATAGAAAAAAACTTAATCGATATTAGTTCCGCTTGTACCTATATTCTTATTAGAGTGTTCTCATCACTATCAGTAATTTGAGCGGGGTAACATGCCATCACGTTCAACGAATATTGACAATCAGCTTTCTACCGATAAACAATTAGAACCTCTATTATCATGTTTTGAAAAAACTAGAAAATACGTACGTATACGTAGAAAATACTGAAATGATTTATTGTTCTTTAAATGAGGGACAGATAATTTAACGTGATATATATTAATTTAATTTATAGGTTATGTTGCGCCTATGATTGTCCAAAGCGTATTATCTGGACACTTATGAAAAAAGGTTATTAGACAACTGTTTATTTCAATAATTTAGAATAACTATACAAAGACTAATACTAGCCTTTGCTATGCAGCTTCATACGCATGAAATTATACAAACTTTATTTTGTTGTTTACATTTGTCAGATTCTCAATTGTAAATGTCAAAATTACTTAATGTTGGCAGCTTGTACTTTATGGTCCTTTTCCCATTTGTTTTATGTTTTTTTCCAATTTATTTGCACCCTAGGTTTAATAGCGTGAGAATATGTAACCTAAAGCGTGCCGTAAGTGTAGGGTTTTTTATTAAAGAAAGAAATATTCAAAAATGTGCTGTGATTGCTGACATCCTACGCCACAAAATAGTGTATTTACGATTTATTATCTTAGTATAAAAGTATACTAAAAGAACAGTACTGTTACTAATTCTAAGAAGGACTCGCCTGTGCAGTTTTAAGATAATGTTATCGCTTGCGGATGCATGACACAAGTTCCTCGTAACAGTGTGCATTATATTTGCAATCGGCCGCGTCTTTATTTGCAAAGGTCGTGTTTGACTATTACTATCTTATATTTATACACAACTAAATTAATGTTACTACATCATTGAATAATTTCATTTAAGGGGAGAGGTACCTTTTTTTTTAATTGAATCTTTTAAGCCAACAGTAAATTAAATAAAGCATTAATTTTATTGTCGAATCATAAATAATGGACATTAATATATAGTTTAGGATTTGTTAATATACAAAAGAAAATCGTGACGTCAACGTACGTAAAAATTCTAAAAACATTTCGTTGTAAGGCGTAAACTTTCTTTTTCACGGCTTTTCAGGCAGCGTCTGGCCACTTCAGACCCCACTCAACTCAACTAGTCTTGCTGCGGTCATAAGCTCGGATTTGGCCTAAGTCCGGGAGACCTAAGTTGCTTAACTTCTTGTGTACTTTGTTTAGTTATGTTTACGCTGTGGTTTGAACTTTGTGTTAGCAAATGTTAGGAAACTACAAAGCAAACAAATTCAATACGAATTTTAATTGCAGTTGTTAGAAACTAAAAAATGTATTGCTCTATATAAGATACTGAAGATTTTATTACATGCTAGCTTACGCCCACGACTCCGTCCGCATGGAATAAAAATAACAAAAGTGAATAACCTATGTGTTCTTCCAGACTGTCCTCTACATGTATGCCGAATTTCATCTAGATCCGGTTAGCCGTTTAGTCTACGAACTCTAACAAACATCCATCTAAACTAAACTAAACTTTTGCATTTATAATATTAGTAAGATCTGTATTTATGTAGAAAAATGGCAGTTTGCATCTGGCAATTTTTAGTGCAATTAGATTCAAGTTAGAGGTCATGACATTCGAATCTTACAAATCTTGCGAAATACTATCAGTATTATGTACGGTCTAGAGTAAATTTTAATATATGAAATGTTAGAATTGATGTAACAAAAGTTACTCATTTGCACGACTTGTCGGGCCCTGCATTTGATGTGACAGTTTTAATTGAAGAGTGCTGAAATTATTTCGCACTTTCGGTCCCCGGCTTGAGATTGTGCTCGTAAACTCCCCGAGGAATCCACAAGGAGACTGGCATAGGGCTGGCATAGTCTCACCTGTCTAATATATTGCTCTTAGGAAAGTGATCGCAGTAGATCTAAACATCTTATAGTAGTTATGTAAACGGGACTCAGAAGCCTCACTTCTTAATGGGATCAATATAGTCCACTATGCTAATAACATATAAACATCAAAATATGCGTGAAAATTGAACATAACATTTTTTTTAAGATATAATTTTTAACAATTGTGTGTTGGCAACCCTAGCGACAATCTCCTTGCCTACTCCACGGCATCTGGCCGACGCAGACACGACTCTCGAAAATTAAAAATCTCCCTGCATTTGCATTAACGACACCTAAATTAAAATTTCGGATCTATTGTCTGTCGTATTTCAGTAACATTTTTTGGCACGGCAGAATTTTTCGTCATATCAACTTAATGTATTTTAATTAATGTTTTCATCAAATTACATTTTGTAACTTGTAAGTACATTATTTAAAATGTATTAACTTTCAATATTAATACGTAATTGGCGCACTCAATCTTTAAAATTGAAATGATAAATTAAGCAGTCCCTTAGTATAGATATTTCATAAGGCACAACCTTAGTATCCAAATAGTAGTAATTTAGTCATCTATCCAAAAAAAAAACTATTAATAGATAGTACGCAGGCCGTGCATAGTTTTCCAGCTCTTTTAGCAACAGAACAATGTTATCTTTAATGTGTATTTTCCTCATTATCCAGGCTACTTCGGGAAGTATTTGAACAAGTACAACGGGTCTTACATTCCGCCCGGCTGGCGCGAGTGGGGCGGTCTCATCATGAACTCCAAGTACTACAACTACAGCGTCAACATGAATGGAAAGAAGATCAAACATGGTGATGATTATCACAGGGTAAGTCTTTAAATATAGCTACGTATTCTAAGAAACTACTTATAATATGAAAGCTAGCTTCATGGCTAAACTTTAAAACCTACTTACTATTCTCAAGCAATCAGTTGAAGCTGTCCGCGTACAGCGGACTTAAAGACGTAGAGTGGTTCCAACTAGTTGTATAAATTGTCTTTAAATTAAACTTATTTGTTCCAGGATTACTATCCAGATCTGATAGCAAACGACTCGATCGCATTTCTACGGGCGTCAAAGCGACGCTTCTCTCGCAAGCCAGTCTTGCTGGTGATGTCGTTCCCCGCGCCACATGGCCCTGAAGATTCAGCGCCGCAGTACTCGCATCTCTTTTTCAATGTAACCACCCATCAGTAAGTACTTACATCTCCCTATTGTACCACAATATGTAGGGTCAGCACCACAAATTTTCAACATCTTTTCTCAATTTAGATAGCTTTACCGTAATTGTTTCACTTTTCTTGCAATCCATCCTTTTCTTAGTAAATATTCCTCTATCGATGTATTTACAAGTTCATTTGTAAAGTTTTTCAACAAATGTGATCCTTCTTTCCTCATAAAATGCCAATATCATGCTAACTTTTTTTAATTTATGACGAAATTCTAACCTTAATCTAATTACCTATTACCGTTATATTCTTAATTGTAATTAAATAAACATCGCATGCGAAATGATAAATGAATGTATGATGTCAATAATTAATAACATTTGATTATAGACCGTATAAGGCAAAGATAATATCTCGATAAGATCTTATTTAGTTTTTGCTCACGCGTCGAGCAATAAAATGTGCACGGAATTGATTTAACATTGCACAATGTACATTCCGGTCTAAGCGTTATTAATACTACAAGATTAGAAGCTAAAACTTCTACTGAATTTCACTTGTAAAAAATGTAAGAAAAAATCCAGTGTTAAAGTGTACAATAGCTGGAAAAAGTTGTGTGTTCACCAGTTTAAAAAGAAATGTAGCAGCAAGTAGTAAAAATAAATCAAGAAGTCTACGAGAAAACAAATTGGGTATCTCTGTCAATAAACTTGTTTTAACCGGACAGTCGAACTGTTCAATTAAAATTACGGGTGTGTAGTCAGCTAAAAGGGTAAACTAAATCGAAGTATCAAGATATATGACAGCTGGATGCTTCTCGCATCTGTGGCCTGATATTGCAGAATGCACTCCGGCGGGCGTCGCGTTCTAGACGAAATAGAATATTAAATTTCACAATTTGGGGAATACGAGAGCGTTCACGAAGCAATCCCGTGTTATGCTAATGTCATCGTAAAAGCGCACAGCGCACCGGTGTCCCCGACAGACGCCGTGCAGCTATAATTCGGTTTTGAAGTTCACGTACACTATAAATATGATTAAAAACATCCAAAAAAGTACCAGTAAAACAACTCGATGTATACTTGTCTGGATCAATATATTTGTACAATCATACTTATATTATGGGCTACTTGCTTTTGTTTTTTTTTTAATTTCACGGGAACGGAGACGCTGGCAAAATTTTCTACAATAAAAAAGCTTTTACAATTTGTAAAACCTTTCATAGATATTTTTCCATGAATGATAAGGTCATAGTGACTCGAGTTATTGAAAACTACGGAGCTTTCGTCTGTAATTCGGTAATTAATTTACCAAAATAACTGGCAACTATAACCGTAACAATAACCATTATAGCAGCAATGGTCGAGTCTAAACATTCTTATGAATCATAAATCAGCCTCGGTCGCCGGTCGCCAGTATTGAGGTAAAATTCAGGGCAACGTCGACTGTAAGCGTACATGAGGTTTTCGGTGTAGCGTAATGAAAAAAAACAAGGTCGTTCCAAAGGTAAGCGAAATGAAATGGTTCCGTACAAGTATCAAAAATATTTACATTTATCTTCCTTGTTAACAATCTTACAAATATTATGAATGCAAGTTTTATTAGATACCTGGATGTTTGCTACGTATCTCCAAAACTCCTAAATTTAGCACAGATTTAGAACATATTATAGTATGGAAAAACATAGCCTGCTTTCTAAGTTTTTTATTCGGCGTCTAATAATTAAATTGTTAGTCCATCGCTTTTCTGCGTGCTCTTTACCGTATTTTTTTAGCAGATTGATTGGTCAGTTTTTATCCTATGTTGACGGTCTCCAAAAACCTGGACAACTCCTTAAATATTTAAAGAGAAGTAAGATGGCCGACCACTCGCAAAAATGCCGCAGCAATTAGAGTTTTTGTTGGAATATTTAGAGGGATTTAATACAGTTGAAATGCGACTCTCGTTACACACTTATTATATAAGACCAAGTAATTTTCGTTAAAAACAAAAGGCAAAGACTAACCTCTGAATGCATCTTACGTTTTCAGTTCAAATAAAGTAATATTTATACTTAACTTCTCTATTAAATAATCTCGGATACATGGAATCACTCATATAAAAAAGCAAACACGTTGCGTAGTATTAAATGACTACGGGTTTTTGTTTAATAAAGTATCGAATGCGGTTTATCTACGTATGGTTTTTTTCACTACAGTCTTCTGAAAGTTATTTTTTTAACCGACTTCTTAAAACTTACACATAATCTAGCTAGACTAATTTATTCCTGAGACATTACCGAGTTAACTTATAAGTGCAAAAAGACATACTCCTGTATAACCACACTTAGGGCCGTATATACGTAATACACGCAGGGCCGGTGTTAAGGTAGGGCACGGTAGGACGACCGCCCAGGGCCGTAGGCAGTGAAGGGCGCCACAGATCTGGGAAATACGCAGTCTTACATAACCCTGTTTACAACCCCTCCTCCCTTTACAAGACCACAAATAGGATGCCATAGAAGTCTCGTCCAGGGCGCTAGTAGCACTACAACCGATACGTGTCCTCTACTGCAATACAATTCGTATAAAATTAGCACTTTAAATTACAACCTACCTTATCATTAGCCGACCGTAAAGGCTGTTACCAACGTAGAGGCGGCGGCGTATGAAAGCAGCGCCAAAACAAAATGTAGATAACGCGATAATAAAAAAAAGAATTGTCTTACATATACGGAGTACGGTTGGATATTATAAGAAATCCAATATATAAAACAGAATCTCCAAGTCTTCTGTACGTACTTGATAAACTTAATACCAGTTAAAATGTTAACAATAGATGGCGTGATTCATAGTGAAAATTTCTTAAATAAACAGAGATGGTTAAAGAAGACAATACGACAAGAAATATTTAAGAAGTAGGGTCGAATCGCTAGTATGTGTGTAAACGTGATCATTTAGTGCCGACAACTTGAGGAGCTGCATAAATCGTGGAACCGGACAGAGCGGCTTAATTGCCAAAGGATAAAAGTACCGCCGATGCAAATGAACCTGACATCAAGTCTGACATGCGTTAATGATCGAATCTATGTTGACGGCGCCTTTTGGATGGCCTTGTTCGATCATGTTTTCTTTAATCGATGTATAATTTGTTGACGTTTTACTACTTCGATTTGAGCGCTATCGGCTTCAACTACAGAACAAAGTCACAGAGTCTACTCTAAAAATTAAACACATTTTTTAGCAAAATCGGTAAAAGAAAGTAGGAATCCAAATTGTCAACATCTAAGCAGCCATTTAAAGAATGTAACAGACTAATACAACTGTTTAAGCTCTGCTTTATTTCGGTCAATTGATATACATTTGGTCAAAAGTTAACTTTTTGTTGAGTGGCGGCATGTCGGCAACCCGGCGAAGCATCTCACTCGACTCGTTTGCAACGACCTTTGAAGGTTGCAACTTTCCAAGCGATTACCAACGCTTGTCAAAATCACGCTCGCCTTGTAATCTCTTGATTGGGATTCGATTTCCAGTTTGTAACGAGTCTTCGAAATTCGTTTTTGACCGACTTCCCAAAAGAAGGAGGTATTCAATTCGACCGTATGTTTTTTTTTTTTTTTTTTTTTTTTTTTTTTTTTTTTTTTTTTT